AGTTACAGAATTGTTGAATCGCTATATTGTACATGTGAAACTAATATAACCCTGTTTGTTAACTATACTAGAATTTAAAAACTTTTTCTTTATTTTTTTAAGATTTAATTTATTTATTTGAGAGAGAGCACGCGTGCACGAGCTGGGAGGGGGGTGGGCAGGCAGAGGGAGAGGGAGAAGCAGGCTCCCCACTGAGCAGGGAGCCCGATGAGGGGCTCGATCCCAGGACCCCGGGATCATGACCTGAGCTGAAGGCAGATGTTTAACCGACTGAGCCACCCAGGCACCCCTTAAATAAAAAGCTTCTCAAAAAAAGGAATGAGAGTAATTGACTCATCCCATCAGGTGGAATAAGCTCATTGGAATCTGGTTTAACAAGTGTCATATTTATAAAGGTAAAAATGAAATCTTAAAATACTGAGTGGGATGATAGAGCTAGGAGTTGCTTTCCATTTATCATTCTTGCATGAAACTGGTATGTAGTAACATACTAAATTGGCTTATATATTTTTTAGAAAATGTTTTATTTGTTTATTTGAGAGAGAGTGCGAGAGCAAGCACGAGTGGCGGGGAGGGATAGAGGGAAAGGAGAAGTAGACTCCCTGCTGAGCAGGGAGCCCATCATCAGGCTCAACCCCAGGACTCCAGGATCATGACCTGAGCCGAAGGCAGTCGCCCAACCAACTGAGCCACCCAGGCGCCCTGTGTATTTTTTTTTAAAGATTTAATTTTTTTATTTGAGAGGGAGAGAGCGTGGGCACATGAGAGTGGGGGTAGTGGCAGAGAGAGAGAATCTTAAGCAGATTCCACGCTGAGCTCGGAGTCCATCATGGGGCTCGATCTCACAACCCTGAGATTATGACCTGAGGTGAAATCAAGAGCTGGACATTTAACCGACTGAGCCACCCAGGCGCCCCTTGGCTTGTGTATTTTAGCATATCAGTTTAGTCTTTTTGTTCTTTTAAAACTAAGATTTTCCATAAAAATCTTCCCTTTAAAAAATAAATCTCTAAACTAGGACCTATTAAGCCTTGTGTTCAGGAAAGATTAATATCCCATAATGATTGTCTGACCTTTTTAAGTGGCTTATAACCATTAGCTTGTTTCCAATAGTAGGCATCTTAATCCCTTGAGTTTTTATAGCACAACTTTTTTCTCAGATTTTAAGTTTTTTTTTTTGTTTTGTTTTTTAGTAATCTCTATTCCCAATGTGGGGCTCGAACTCATGACCCGGAGCTCTTTGAACTGAGCCAACCAAGCTCCCCTGCAGCACAATTTTGGTATTATTTATTAAAATAGGTTTTTCTTTTACCCTGTCTTCAGCATTCACCAGCACAGGCTTTGATCGTCATACTTCTCCTGTATTCAGCCCTGCTAACCCAGAAAGCTCCGTGGAAGACTGCTTGGCTCATCTTGGGGACAAAGTATCACAGGAACTGAAAGAGCCTCTACAAAAGGCATTGCAAATGCTCCTCAGCCAGTGAGTTACCATTGCTGAGTGGGAACATGCTTCTCTAAGTAGTCTTTGAATCTGTCATGCAGCACTGGATTGGTTAAGGGTTTGTTTTAGGTGAATGGTGTCACTTCTTTTCTCACTTTACTTTTTCTTTCTTTGCTTTCCTGAAGCATTTCTGTTTGTGTTTTGAATGACAACTTTTACATCAAAGTGGTGATTTAACTGTTCCGACATGGATTTGATCATTTGTGTTTACTTGTTGAGCTGTCAGGTTTCAACAGATGCTTTCACTGCTCTGTAAGTGTAAATATGAGCTATTTCACTTGTCCTGACCGCTTTTTACTACCATTCTGTCTGGGGGCCAACATAAATATAATGGTTAGGGTTTTATGCATTGTAATGTGGGGTTAACATCATACCAGTATTTTAGGTATCCCAAATGTTGCTAAACTTTGTGGTTGCACATCTGTCTATAGAACTGCTGCCGCATTCTTATAGTGGGAACTTCTCTACTAACCACGGTTTTGACTGTTAAAGCTCAAGGCAGGAAGCTCACAGTGAAAGTATATTAAAATAGAACGAAGTCATTTATTGTACATCTTAAAAATTCTTTTCCTCTAATTCTTTGCTGAGAATCATTAAAGAATTGGTATGAATTAGAAAAACATTGTTTTAATGAAGAATAACATCTAAAACAGGGTGAAGACTTTTTCTTCACTAAAAGGGTCAAAATTCAGATGCCAGATTACTGGTGTAGTAAGGTAATTCCTTATTTCCACATAGGCAAAAAATTGTGTGTTACCATTTGTCAGAAGGAAGCAGTTGGAGTTTAAGGAGAATTCAGTTTGTTTCCGCATATTCTGGTGACATGAGCAAATGTAAAAAATCCAAGTTATGTATAGGACACTGAAATGAAAATCATATTTGGACTTTCTTAACTTTATATATAAAAAAGTTTAAAAAGAAATGTGAAGAGAAGATTATGGGTGTCAGAAAATAAAAGTTAAATAGGAAATTTGGATGTACAGTGGTGGCTTTTAGAATGTTCTGTGGAGCTTAGGGGCCCTGAGAACGTGAAGGACAGGGTGAGTGGGTGGGGCTTGTTAGGCCTTTGCCAACCCTTCTTAAACTAAAATAGCTATATATATATATATATATATTTAAAGATTTTATTTATTTGGGAGAGAGAGTGAGAGAGAGCGTGCACATGAGAGGGGCGAGGGTCAGAGGGAGAAGCAGACTCCCGGCTGAGCAGGGAGCCCGATGCGGGACTCGATCCCAGGACTCCAGGATCATGACCTGAGCTGAAGGCAGTCGCTTAAACAACTGAGCCACCCAGGCGCCCCATAGAATAGCTATATTTTAATACATTTTTAAATGTAAGATTTGAAGAAACCTACTGTTTTGCCAAAAACAAAAATTGTAAAAGCTATTGGGACTGGGAGTAAAATAACTGAGGTTAGAAGGCAAAAAATTCTGTCTCCAACTTTGATACAAACTATTTGTGGCTTTACACAAACCATTTCATTCTATATCTAAATTTCCCCATCTAGGGGCGCCTGGGTGGCTTAGTCATTGGGCGTCTGCCTTCGGCTCAGGTCGTGATCCCAGGGTCCTGGTATCGAGCCCCTCATCGGGCTCCCTGCTCCACGGGAGGCCTGCTTCTCCCTCTCCCACTCCCCCTACTTGTGTTCCCTCTCTCGCTGTGTCTCTCTCTGTCAAATAAATAAATAAAATCTTTGGAAAAAAAGAATAAATTTTCCCATCTATTAATTTTAACTTTACTGGGATATTATAAGCTCTCTGAAGAACAGTATCATATAGGTAAAGTATTTTTTTGGCATCCTTTTCATAATCTACAGGAAAAATTGATATCTTCTCACTGCAAAGTAAATTGTATTTAAAAATATATAGTCAGGTGAATACTTGGTGGTTTTTTTTCCCCAAACCCTGAATACTGATATAATTATTTCTTATTTTTATTTTTATTTATTTAAAGATTTCATTTTTAAGTAATTCCTCTACCCATAGTGGGGCTCATACTCACAACCCCAAGATCAAGAGTCATATACTCCACCGACTGAGCCAGCCAGGCGCTTCTGACATAATTATTTTTTAAATTGGTACCTCTGGTTGTATATCAGAGTCAGACCTCTTTATGAATAAATTTTTTTTTTAGTAATCTACTTTTTAAAGTTGTTAAGCTCTGTTACTAATATCTAACTGATGATGAACCAGAAGTATTATACAGGTTAATGGGAATAATTTGTAAGGTAGAAAATACCACCTACTTCTTCAGACAGTTTAGTTCAAGTGGGAAATTAACCCTGAACTCTTCGTATAGCCAAGCACCAGCAGTGTGAAAAGGTACCCCCTGCCCCTTTTTCTTCTTTGCTCTGTTCAGATACCTCATTAGATAGGGCTGATTCTTCAGCTACTTGCTTTTCTATGTATTAGATTTCCTTTGAATGTTTTCGTCTGCTGGATCTTTTATGTGCATATATGTGTGTACATATAATGATTCAAATCATGTTTCATTCTGAAGGATGCTAAAGTACTTTAGCCTGATAGACAAACTCCCAATAAGGACTACTGTGACCCACAGCAGCATCAAACAGTTCAGGAAAGGAAGTGAAGGGACTGATAGACGCAAGTAAACTTCAGGGAGAATATAGGTAGGTAGACTGTATAGTATCTGAAGTTCAAGTTTTATAACTACCTACTATTTAGCCCAAGGCTTCTAAAAAATTCTAAGCTTACTTTAATGGTAATATAATATCAGGAAGATAGTACATAACATCTTAAAAAGGCCATCCCATGTATCTCACCTCCTTTCAGCATCATTGTGGTATTGATTTTATATTGACTTGTGAAAAAGAATGATAACTGTGTCATCAGAACTGGTTTCTAAAGTATGTAGACCAGCACTGTACAACAGATAAAATGCAAGTCATGAAATGCAATTTAAAATTTCCTAGCAACCACATTAAAAATTAAGATTTTTAATCTATTTTATTCAACCCAGTATATTAAAAATTGATAGTTTTAACAGGTACTCAATGTAAAAATATTAATGAGCTATTTTACATTTTTTTCCTTAGTAAGTCTTAGAAATCTAGTGTGTGTGTATATTATGCTTTCAGCATATCACTAGCCGCATTTCACATTACCATTAGCCACATGTGGCACTGAGGCATTATTGTGGCATGTTTCAGAATCCTAATTTAAAATAGGAGTAGTGTGGCCTTTGGACCCATATCTAGTTGGGTGTGAATTCCTGCATTGCTGGTTGCCAGCCATGTGGATTTGGGATAGTCTCTTAGCTTTTCTGAGCTTCAGTTTCCTAATGTGTAAAATGATAGTATGTAATATAAAATATAAATATATAAAAATATAAAACTGAACAGTAGGTTACTGATAAGTGGTAGCTGTCCTCAATTATTAAATTTCATAGGCTGAAGAGATCACAGACCTGAGAGCAGAAAATGCCTTTGGAATGGATTTTAAAATCCTAAAAAAGCAAGACCTCTACCCTTTTTTACATGTATGTTAATACTTTGCCCACAAAAATAGGGGGGCAAATTTTATTAAATCTGATATTCAGGCTGTTGATGCTTTCAGATGCTACTTGGTACCAAGTATTTTTTGTTGGTTGTTGTGAATTTGTGCATGAAACCAAGTCTTACACATAGTAACTAAAGTCTGTCAGTAAATTAGTGTTGGTGATTTCAGTTTTGGTATGACTAGAACTTACGTGGAAATAATTAGAAAGGCTTATCTCTGCCCTCCAGAATTTTATATCATAAGACTCCAAGTTAAAAATAGAGCTCCATTTACTGGCCTTGTTTAGTCCAACTCTTTATATCCTCAATTTGAGAGGTCTTTCAGTGACATGTTTCTTTAATTTTGAAGTGTTTTAAGTTTTTTGCCTTTTAAAAAAGTTAAAATTGTGCTTTTAATAATGAGGTCATTTTTGTTACTATTTTATCTTATTTTAATAACCCAAGTGTATGTTTATCTGCAACATGGAAATCCTGTTGGATGAGTTTCAAACAATTATTTTAAAAGTGTTATTTATTATTATCTTGTTATGTTATTAGCTGCTTTCCCAAGCTGATAGCATGCCTCTCAGCCAATAGGGAATGCTTGAAGTAAATGCATACCAAATGTTAAAAGCCACATCTCATACCAAACAGTATATTGAATAATCTTTGGTACTTTGGCAAAAAGTTCAACACAGAATAGTGACTGTATATTTATTCATCTGGAAATTTAGAATTTTCCTTCTTTGTGACCCAGACTTTTAAAAAAAAAATCTCTACAGGCCAGTGACATATCAGGCATATCGGGAATGTACACTGGAGACCACAGTTCATGCCAGCGGCTGGAATAAGGTATTAACCAAATTATCTTTTCTCTTATAAGATTTTAGTGTGTTCATTAAAGTGCAGGAGAAATTGTTAACATCATGTAAGAGAACTGTTAGAGCTCATTATTTAATGCATAAATCCAATTGTGTTAAGTTTTTGATTAAAGTGGTTTGATTAAAGTGGTTTTTTGATTAATGCTGTGAGATTCTGGTTGGCCCAAAAATATGTGTCCCATAGTATGCCATTCTTCCTTCCTATCTCTTCTGAATTTTCTCTCATTTCTTCACTTCTCTGTGTTAGACATGACATTTATCTCCAGATGGTTATTTGTTACCCTGTGTGTATGTCTTGGGGTGTAAAAGAATAAGAGCTTCATTTGGGAGACCGCTTCTTCTGGTTTTTTCTCTCTCTCTCGCTCTCTTTTTTTATTTGTTCTTCTGGTTCTCTTAAATGAGTAATACCGTTTGTGTTTTATAGTTTACAAGGTATCTCATTGGATCATTTAATACAACCATCCTTTGCAGAAGACAGAATGGATTTTATTAGCTTTTGCTTTGTTATATATTTAGTTAGATCAGGTGAATAATCAGAGAAAAAAGTTAAGTGACTTGTCCAGGACCCCTTGACTAGGAAATATTGGAACCAACGCTAGAGCTGAGATATCAGATCTTCTGATTCCAGCTTTAGTGTTTTTTTCCACAGTACCATACTGCTTACCCATGATCTCAGACTGTATTATCCATTTATCACCCTGAAAAGGCAGAAAGTCTAAGGAAATGTAGTATGGGAGGACTCAGATCAATATGAGGAAGAAGTGTGGCCCTTAGGATCTTGTGTAGGGATGAGAAAATTCAGTAGAATCATTTTTATAAATAGCCACCTCTACTCTGAATTGATTTTTTTTAACTTTTCATTTTATCCAACAATTCCATACATCCCTTGGTATTCAGCACGATAAATGCACTCCTTAATCTGCATCACCTATTTAACCCATCCCCCCACCTCTTGCACTCTACTCAAACTGTTTTTTTTTAAAGACTTTATTTATTTATTCATGAGAGACAGAGGGAGAGAGAGAGAGAGAAGCAGAGGGAGAAGCAGACTCCCAAGCAGCAGGGAGCCCGATGCGGGACTCGATCCCAGGACCCTGGGATCATGACCTGAGCCGAAGGCAGATGCTTAACCATCTGAGCCACCCAGGCACCCAGAACTGTTAATAGTATAGTATGAGTCAGACTGTGTGACCCTACATACCTAACTGAAGTATATTGTTTTTAGTCACTTTATAATACAGGCTTTGGAAGCATTATAGCATAATAATTAGCATCATAGGCTTTGTAATTGGACTTCTTTCAAATATCAGCTTTGCCACAGACTAGATGCATGTCTTTGGACAGTTCATTAACCTCTCTAAATCTTAATTTTCTTTTCTTTTCTTTTTTTTTTTTTTTAAGTTTTGTTTAAATAATCTCTACAGCAAACATGGGGCTCTAACTAATGACCCTGAGACCAAAAGTAGTACACTCTTCTAACTGAGCCAGCCAGGCGCCTCTCTAAATCTTCATTCTCACATATGTGAAATGGATCTAGTAATACTAACCTCATAAATTTTACTAGACTTAAATGACATAATATAGGTTAAATGCTTATTTAGCACATTGCTTGGCACCATAGTAAGCACGCAGTAAACAGTAGCTATTACGTTAGATTTAACACATGAAAACCTGTTCCAAAGTAGTCACCATTATGGGGTTTTACTATGTTATTTAGTTGCAAAAAACTTATTTAAAAAGTTTGTTTCATTTCCTTTCTTGGAATAAAAAAACCCTTTTATTTGGATATTTGAAATACATTTATTTATTTTATAAATAAGAATGAGCTTGGTTATGATTATATTTCTTAGTATGTCAAACAACACATGTTTAGGTACCTAATATTACTAGCCTTCTTCCCCTATTTTATGTTCTCTTCCTTTCCCTCTTGTCCAGTGACTATTAATAATCAACTCTTGTATGTTCTCCTCCCGTTGATCCTAGGGTTGTCCTAAAAAAAAAATCTGAGTAAACCCCATACTTCACTATCTCTCTTCACCTGCCTGATTTTTCCATTGTCTGCTTCATTTTAGTCCTTCAGCTGGACCAAGAGCCAAGGCTGTGGCTTGAATAAATAATTCATATAAATAAGCCAGGCCAGTTAGAGTATTACTTGCTCTGCTGAATCCAGTATTACTCTCCTACTCAGTTCTCTAGGGCTGAAAAGAATATGGTTGTCTGGTAGGTAATTGAGGCTCAAATGAAACACTCATCAGAGAGAAGAGAAAAAAAGTGTCCACAGAGCATACCACATTAGGGATAAACCGAATACCTGTTTATCTGTATAGGGATTCTGAAAGCATCTTGGTAGAATACTCTATATCAAAAGAAGTGTAGGAAAAAAGCTGGTCACAAACCTGTATTAGTAGTATGGTCCTTTAAAAAAAAGAAGTTCAAAAAAAAGGTCCATGTATAAATGTAGGTATGTATATGCCTAGAAAAACAATTGAAATATGTGCCAAAACATTAAATAATACATAGTAATTATCTCCAAATTGTGGGTTCTTTTCTTTCTTCCCCTGCCCCCATGTGGGTATTGTTTTTTCCTATGTACTTCTCTGCTTCTGAGAGAAAAAGAAGAAAATGATCATCAAAGAGAAAAAGCCATGAAATGCTTACATTTGCCTTTTCTTGGGGGTGTAGACCCTGCCAGAAATATAATTATGCTCAAGTACATTAGTTGAAGGCACTGTGCATGCAGTTGGACTGCTGATATAATTATGTTATCTGCAGAATTCCATAACTGCTCACGACACATTAATAATCACTATTTTTTCACCCTGATAAAAACAGTTATTTTGATGATGTTTTGGTACTGTAAATGGTGTGCAGAGACACACCACACTTTACATCTTACTGTCCTCTATTTTTCTTACCCTCCTTATATCCTTTTTGTTAAAATAAACACTGTAGGGGTGCCTGGCTGGCTCAGTCAGTAGAACATGTGACTCTTAAATCTCAGGGTTGTGGGTTTGGGCCCCATGTTTGGTGCAGAGATTACTTAAAAATAAAATCTATTTTTTTTTTTTAAGATTTTATTTATTTGGGAGAGAGAGTGAGAGAGAGCGTGCACATGAGAGGGGCGAGGGTCAGAGGGAGAAGCAGACTCCCGGCTGAGCAGGGAGCCCGATGCGGGACTCGATCCCAGGACTCCAGGATCATGACCTGAGCTGAAGGCAGTCGCTTAAACAACTGAGCCACCCAGGCGCCCCATAGAATAGCTATATTTTAATACATTTTTAAATGTAAGATTTGAAGAAACCTACTGTTTTGCCAAAAACAAAAATTGTAAAAGCTATTGGGACTGGGAGTAAAATAACTGAGGTTAGAAGGCAAAAAATTCTGTCTCCAACTTTGATACAAACTATTTGTGGCTTTACACAAACCATTTCATTCTATATCTAAATTTCCCCATCTAGGGGCGCCTGGGTGGCTTAGTCATTGGGCGTCTGCCTTCGGCTCAGGTCGTGATCCCAGGGTCCTGGTATCGAGCCCCTCATCGGGCTCCCTGCTCCACGGGAGGCCTGCTTCTCCCTCTCCCACTCCCCCTACTTGTGTTCCCTCTCTCGCTGTGTCTCTCTCTGTCAAATAAATAAATAAAATCTTTGGAAAAAAAGAATAAATTTTCCCATCTATTAATTTTAACTTTACTGGGATATTATAAGCTCTCTGAAGAACAGTATCATATAGGTAAAGTATTTTTTTGGCATCCTTTTCATAATCTACAGGAAAAATTGATATCTTCTCACTGCAAAGTAAATTGTATTTAAAAATATATAGTCAGGTGAATACTTGGTGGTTTTTTTTCCCCAAACCCTGAATACTGATATAATTATTTCTTATTTTTATTTTTATTTATTTAAAGATTTCATTTTTAAGTAATTCCTCTACCCATAGTGGGGCTCATACTCACAACCCCAAGATCAAGAGTCATATACTCCACCGACTGAGCCAGCCAGGCGCTTCTGACATAATTATTTTTTAAATTGGTACCTCTGGTTGTATATCAGAGTCAGACCTCTTTATGAATAAATTTTTTTTTTAGTAATCTACTTTTTAAAGTTGTTAAGCTCTGTTACTAATATCTAACTGATGATGAACCAGAAGTATTATACAGGTTAATGGGAATAATTTGTAAGGTAGAAAATACCACCTACTTCTTCAGACAGTTTAGTTCAAGTGGGAAATTAACCCTGAACTCTTCGTATAGCCAAGCACCAGCAGTGTGAAAAGGTACCCCCTGCCCCTTTTTCTTCTTTGCTCTGTTCAGATACCTCATTAGATAGGGCTGATTCTTCAGCTACTTGCTTTTCTATGTATTAGATTTCCTTTGAATGTTTTCGTCTGCTGGATCTTTTATGTGCATATATGTGTGTACATATAATGATTCAAATCATGTTTCATTCTGAAGGATGCTAAAGTACTTTAGCCTGATAGACAAACTCCCAATAAGGACTACTGTGACCCACAGCAGCATCAAACAGTTCAGGAAAGGAAGTGAAGGGACTGATAGACGCAAGTAAACTTCAGGGAGAATATAGGTAGGTAGACTGTATAGTATCTGAAGTTCAAGTTTTATAACTACCTACTATTTAGCCCAAGGCTTCTAAAAAATTCTAAGCTTACTTTAATGGTAATATAATATCAGGAAGATAGTACATAACATCTTAAAAAGGCCATCCCATGTATCTCACCTCCTTTCAGCATCATTGTGGTATTGATTTTATATTGACTTGTGAAAAAGAATGATAACTGTGTCATCAGAACTGGTTTCTAAAGTATGTAGACCAGCACTGTACAACAGATAAAATGCAAGTCATGAAATGCAATTTAAAATTTCCTAGCAACCACATTAAAAATTAAGATTTTTAATCTATTTTATTCAACCCAGTATATTAAAAATTGATAGTTTTAACAGGTACTCAATGTAAA